GAATGTCTTTCTTGTTTATTCTGGACCCTATTTGGAAAATGGCATCTTTTGAAATTTGTGTGAAATTGGCAAAATTGCTAAATTCTGACCACTGTATTGGATAGTTGAAATCAGTAAATTAGTGGTTTCTTGTACTCATTCAATAGAGAAAATGGAGTTCTAGCGAAATAGTTATGATTTTTGTCGACTAGTACATTGGAATTGGCCAAAAATAGTGCTCAAAGTGGGCAAAATGCCCACTTTGAGCGCTAACTTCGCGAGAGCATAATTCTGTAAGTTTTCCATCAAATTTCGTACTTTTGGTGTCATTATGATCGGGAAAAGATTCTCTATCTTTTCATAAGAAATAATAATTTTTTTTTTTAAATTTGGGGACCCTGAGAACGAGTCTCTGAGAGGGCCTGTGGACCCTGAAAGGGTTAACCCTGTGAGGGTCCGTCCCATAGTTGTACAACTTTGAAGACAGGATCCAAGCTGTAGCACTACGTCATGAGCTCAGCTCACTTGGGTAAGCTGTGAGCTGTAAATTTGGGCTTAGATATGAGAGAATGCATCTATGTGGTAAGTGTGCACCATATAACACAAATCCTGCAGCATGCAGTGCATAATGAGAAAAATACTGCAACCGTGTGTTTGGATTAAAACTGCAACTTTACAGTGTATTTTTGTATAGTGTTTATGGTTACATTTGCAATTTCTTGGTCTCATTTTATAGAATGGAAGGTTTATTTACAGAAATAGAGATGATTTTGATTGGTTTTTGTACTGAAAATAACTTGAAATTGAGCTCAAAGTAGTGGAAATGTTAGATTTTTGCTGATGTTTGAGAGTAAACCGATCACATCATACATCCAATACACATCAGCTGGTGGGTCTGATGGGCATTCACAAATATGCTGATATCATTTAATTATTCCAGTACTGTATAACAGTAAATCTTCTATTTTTTGGTGTGAATAAAAGTTCTCTTATGTGAATAAAAAATTAAAATGTAGTTCTTGTGTAAAACCTGGAAACGTACTAATAATAATCAGAGGAAATGTTATTTTAGTGCCAGGAATGCTTGCATTGTTTATTCTTAACTCTATTTTGAAATTGGAATATTTTGAACTTCGTATGAAATTGGCCAAATTACCAATTTCTGATCACTTTATTGGGTAGTTGAAGTAGTTGATTGGGCAATTTCTTGTGCTCAGTAGATAAAATAGAAAGCATTCTAGCAAAATAGCTAAGAATTTGATCTAATGGAACAATGTAATTGGCCGAAAATAGGACTCAAAGTGGGCAAAAATCACCGATGCGTAAATATTGCTGACACAGCAGAATTCGTGAGAGCGTAATTTCATCAATTTTTCATCAGATTTAATTCTTTTTGTTTTATTACCTTCTGAAAAAGATTCTCTACTATTTCATAAGAAAAAATAATTTTTTTTTTAAATTCTTGGACCCTGTGGGGAATTTTTAGATTGGGGGTCTGGACCCTCAAAGGGTTAACATATTTATTGATAAGGTAAAAGAAGTGAATGCTTGGGTGTCAGGGAGTGGTGTGGGATTAAAGAATAGAGAATCTGGTATGGAGTGGAATTGTCACAGTTGCATTTTGCTGATGACATGGTTCTTATGGAGATTCAGAATGGAATTTGCAGATGTTGGTAAACAAATGTGGGAGGGTATGTAGAAGAAAAAAATTAAAAGTGAACATAGGAAAGAGCAAGGTGATGAAAGTATAAAAAAAATAGGCAATGAGAGATTGGATATCAGATTGAAGGGGGAAGCATAGAGGAAGTGTGTACAGATACTTGGGAGTGGACTTGTACGTGGATGGTTCTGACAAATGAGATGATCCACTGGGATTAATGTGGATGGTGCATTTGAGGCATCTGTGGATATGAAGAACTTTATCCATGGGGGCAAAAAGGGGAATGTACCAGAGTATAGTGGTACCATCACTGCTGTATGGGTGTGAAGCATGGGGTTTGAATGTTGCAGTTAGGAAGAGGCTGGAGGCAGTAGAGATGTTGTGTCTGAAGGCAGTGTGTGTTGCGGAGGTGTGGAGTTACCAAAAGAGCTGAGGAAGAGATGTTGAGGTAGTTTGGACATTTAGAGAGGATGGAGAAAAATAGTATTAGGAGGGCATATGAATTTGGGGTGGAGAGAAGGATAGGTAGGGGTCGTTCTTGGAAAGGATTAAGGGTAAAGGAGGTTTTGAGTATTAGGGACTTGGACATCCAACGAGCTTTTGTGAGTATGAGCGGAGGCAAGTGGTTTTCATGATTTGATGTGCTGTTGGAGTGTAAGCAAGGTAACATTTATGAAGGGATTCAGGGAAACTGGTGAGCTCTACTTGAATCCTGAAGGTGGGAAGTACAGTGCCTGCACTCTGAAGGAGGGGTGGGGATGCTGGGGTTTGAAGGAGCATCTGAACTGTTAAGTGAGTCCACTTCTGACAAGACAGTGAATGAGTGACGGTCAAAGTGTTCTCTCTCTTGTCGGGTCACCCTACCTTAGTGGGAGATGTCTGGAGTGTTAAAGGATAACTTTTACTTGTGTATTAAGACCAATATGTGTCAAGGTAATGCATGAGCCACCTTAATTTAAAAAGGGATTTTTTTATTAGCTACTGTCTGTCATATCAATGTCTGGGTTTGAAAACGACAGAAAAATTGCAGTACATAGTGGGTTGTGTATGAGTGGAACAAACTCCCGAGTACAGTTTTAAAAAGAGGTTAGATGAATAAATGAGTGGGTGTGGGTGGGTGTGTGTGAGTTGGACCTGACTAGCTTGTGCTGCTGGGTCTGGTGCTGTGCTGTGCTTCCTTGAGTGGAGGTGACCAGACTGGGTGGGTGTTATGCAGGGTTCTGCATGACATTGTAATGTATATCCAGTAGAGAAGGGTGTCATAATAGTATGAATGTTATAATTGTAAAGAATAATTTTATAATTCATTATGTGCATTTGGGGGTACTGTAAAGTACTCTAACTGTAATTATAAAGAAATCCTGCTAGGTATTTATTTTCCAACTGTGTTTGGGTACGCGGGGTAAGTGTGGCTGGGAGGAGTCACGTGGAGTCAGCATGGTGTGGAGGCTGGCGTCGGAGATGCGGTGTATTTAAGCTAAGTTTGTAGTGGTGTAATTATTTTGTTTAGCTAACCCAAGCCATAGGCTCTTCTATGGCTTACCTGTATGCTCACCTAGGCTCTGACATGGTCAGGGTGCGGTGGGATGAGTGAGGAAATAAGAAATGGGGTTGGTATTGGAGTAGAGTCGGCCTGGCGCTGACTAGGGCGAGTGTTATGGTTACTGGACCGCCAGCCGCCTGCTTCTTGTGCCTGCTATGTGGGCGTTTAGGATAGGAGATAAATGAAAGTGTTTGCTAGAGTGTGTATATAGTGTTATGTTGAATAAATAGATATATTTTCCTAACTAGGATTTTTTGCCTAACCCTCTATTAACCAACCCACTGAAGTAACAAATACTGGTTTAGCGCTTTCTGTTTTGACTGGGATAGCCCTGGGTGGCCTGTTTATGCTTGAGATGTGTGTAGCTTTTACCTTTGCCCTTAGACAAGGCTCTAGCACCCAGCTATTCCACCTTTCTGCGTAACATTGATAAGCCAGTAAAACTACCTCTTTTAGCTTATGATAATCAGAAAAGGCCTTAATATAACTGACTTAATGGATAAATTGTACTTTTAACTTCTTTTTTTGGGAAAATTTTTACAAATTAACAAAGTTATGTTCACTGTATTAAAATTAACTTAAGTAATCTTATTGCTACTTTTGAATATTATTTTGATTTAATGGGCACTTGGACAATCTCCCTCTATTAGTCGGTTATAGCAAGGTTATATTTAGCCCTTTGACTGTCGCAACCCCAAATCCTGAGGTGTCTCCTGGTGTCACAAAATATCTGAATTTTTTTTTTTCCATTGAAATAATAGAGAATTTTTTCCCGATGGTAATGACACCAAAAGTACGAAATTTGATGGAAAATTTACGGAATTACCCTCTCGTGAAGTTAGCGACTATGGCGTTATTTATGAATCGGTGATTTTGCCCACTTTGAGCCCTATTTTTGGCTAATTCCATTGTTCCAGTCGACCAAACTCATAACTATTTCTTTAGAAATCTATTTGTTCTATCGATTGAGTAGAAGAAACTCCCTATTTACCAATTTCAACTACCCAATAAAGTGGTCAGAAATTGGCAATTTGCCCAATTTCATGCAAATTAAAAAAATTGCCAATTTCAAAATAGGATCCAGAATGAACAATGCAGACATTCCTGGCTCTAAAATAACATTTTCTTTGTTCATCAGTCACGTCTCCAGGCCCCTCTTATATTACTCTTGCTTTCTATTTTGATTTTTTTTTCAAACAAAAAATAGAAGATTTACTGTTATGCAGACTACTGCAATATTATAATAATTGTGTAAGTAACATCAATGCATTCATGACTGCATATTAGAATGGCTAGTTGGACATTTATTGGACAATGACATCATTTGTTTACTCTTGAACATCAGCAAAAATCAAACATTTCCTTTTCTTAGAACTCCATTTCAAGGTCCTTTTCATAGTAAAACCAATCAAAATCACCTCTATGTCTATAATATGTTTTCCATTCTATCGAATGTGACTACGAAAACGAGAATATAACCATAAAAACTATACAAAAATACACCTCAAAGTCGGCGTTTTAATCCAAAAACAAGGTCGGAGTTTTTTTTTCTCGTTATGCACTGTGTGCTGCAGGATTTTTTTATATAGTGCACACTGACCATACAGACCTATTCTCTCACATGTGGGCCTACCAGCTTTCTCCTGCTTGATTTGAAGCCACTAGAATTTTTGAGTATACATATATACGTCAAACACATAGGCTCGTAAGACGTATATATACAACCGAAACAGTCAAATGGTTAAGCTGGATAATTTTTAAGTATTATATTTTCCTATGAATCATATATTAGGACTTGAGAAGTTCTTCACACCTCAGGTTGGAGTGGTGCTGTATGCTGAATTAGGATCAGCAGAATTTCAAAAGTTCCATGCAGCACTGAAGGATCTTGTTAGTGCCGGCAAGATTGACTATATTTTCCGCCATCGAGTGAAGGTAAGTATCTCGAATAACTCTTCAGAATTATAATGTATAAAACAAGCACTAAAATAACCACAGCATAAATAACTAATAGTATTATAATGCTCAATAAGAGTAATGCTTAATTATTTTTTTTTTTTACAAATATTTTATTTTCTATTCTCTTTGTTTAATTCTTATTATTTTTTTATGTATTACTTCTTATTAAACTCAGTATGTAATATTTATTAAATTTTTTTCCGAGCCTCCATCTGCTGCCAAGGCAAAGTAACCTAAAGAGGGAAAACCCATACACCAGCATTCAGTCATTCACTGTCTTTCCAGAAGTGTACTAACATAAGAGTCAGATTACCCCCTCCAACCTCAGCATCCCCGCACCACCTTCGGAATGGAGGCGCTGCCCTTCCCACCTCCAGGACTCGAAGTCCAGCTAACCAATTTGCATTAATCTCTCCATAAAAGTTACCCTGCTCACACTAAAACAGCATGTCTGTCCTTTAAAAATCTTAGTCTCCATTCACTCCTATCTAATATGCTCACACAAACCTGCACACATCTGTTGGATGTTCAAGCCACTTGCATACAAAACCACCTTTACTCCCCCTCCCTCCAACCTTTCCTAGGATGACCTTTACATCTCCTTCCCTCCACTACAGATTTATAAACTCTCCAAGTCATCCTATTTTCCTCTGTCCTCTTTAAATCTCCATACCACCTCAACAACCCCTTGTCAACCCTCTGGGTAATACTTTTAGTAACCCCCACACCTCCTCCTAATCTCTAAATTACAAATTCTCTGCATAATATTCACACCACACATTGCTGTCAGACATACCTGGAGAGTTTCGGGGGTGAATGCCGCTATGGCCCGGTCTGAGACCAGGCCTCATGGTGATCTTTTTAAACTAGATTTAGGAAAAAGTATTTTTTTTCACTGTCTTATTTTATTTGATCTATTTTTATTTTTGATACAGAAGCGGTCACCTAAGAAAGTTCGACTGAGTGGTTATGGCGTGGAGCTGGCCATCAAAAGCACTGAGTATAAGGCTCAGGATGACACCAAAGTTCAAGAGGATGGAGAGAGGCAAGAGGAGGAAGATGAACAGGAAATGGAGGTTGAAGGCTTCCTCTTTACTAAGTTACAGTGAGTCATTATCAGTTCTGGATGTCTGTACAGTAGGGCCCCATTTTATGGCATTATGCTTTATGGCATTTTGCTAATATGGACATTTCAAATTATAACCAAAATTCGTTAAACGGCTCCCTCTCATCTAACTCGCTAATATGGCCTCCGTGAGCCACCTTGTTTACATCCTCCGTGAGCTCCACGTCTTTCCATTATGTCTGGAAACATTTTTAATAGAATATAATTTGTGTGTGTTGGCCTTCACTATTTGCAACAATTAATATAGGTATCTTCTGTATCCAAGCTGTTTTATTTTATTTAATTTTCTCTATCTAGGTTCTTTAATTCTTATTTTTTTTTTAATTTACAATTATGGTAAAATTCACTGTTCCTCAACATTTTTCACAGGTCCCTCCATTCAGATAAGGAAGAGGAATTGACTCAGTTTAGAAAGCATCTGGAAGAGTCTCGTCATGAAATGGCTCCAATGAAAGTTTGGCAGTTACAGCACTTGAGCATGCAAGCTGCTCAGCGTATAATGTCGGCACCTGAAGATCAACGACTTAGTCTCTTTGTACACATAGCACAGAATTTCCCAATGCTTGCTCGCTCCCTTGTTAGGATAAAAGTAAGTATAGAATAAAAAAATTGTAATAATGTTGGTAGAATTATTGACAATATGTTAGGTAAACGGATACATATGCAACTGATACCACATTTTTATTATGGCAATGTTTCACTCTCCAGGAGCTTTGTCAAGCCAGCTTGACAAAGCTCCTGGAGAGCAAAACGTTACCATACCAGGCATTCACAGATCTCATCTCTGTCAACACATTTATCCTGATGCTGAATATTCTACACTTCTCTCATGAGATGAGAGTCAATAGAAGTGACATGCTATGTACAAGATTAGGGATGTTTTAATGTACCTGAAAAATAGGTTCAGTGTGCTCTTTTATCCCTTCCTGAACCTTGTCACTGACAAGTCACTGGTCTGAGTTAAAAGCACACTATCATTCAAGAAATAAATATCAAGCAAGAGAAAATTCATACCTGTGTCATACATGTCTGATCCAATGAAGGGAAGGATAGCTAAAAATCTTGGGATCATGAGTTAATCACTATCATCAAGGCACCTTCAATGAATGGAAATATTCTAGGAAGAGCCTTCAGTAAAACAAAAAAAAGGATTGAAGAGCACAATTCTAAAGGTGCAAGTGTACTGGGTAACAAACCCGCTACATACAGGGCGGCCCCGCATGTACACTTCCCTCTTTTAAGTGTTCCAGGTTTTTGCTGGCTTTCAACTGAGCCATTGTTCATTATGTTCGATGCTCTTACTGCTTTTCCGATATTTTCATACAATAGTTGTGTAAGGGAAGGGCGACCAGCACAACATTTTAAGGCTCTGCTCGCATTAAAATACAGCGCTGGTCACCCTTGTGATGTCTATCTTAATAAATGATAACACATTATCAGGTGTTTTAGCTGCATCTCATAATGAAAAAATTGTTCTTTTTCCAACCACCAGAGATTTTCACTTATTGTTTGGGGGTCACAAACCTTAGAGCCATACGAATGGGAACATCCTGTACGTATGTACCTGTACCAGTATTGAGGGGTCTTCAACTCTTAATACCTTATAAATACATAGTTATAGGTAGTAGGTTGGTAGACAGCAACCACCCAGGGAGGTACTACCATCCTGCCAAGTGAGTGTAAAACGAAAGCCTGTAATTGTTTTACATGATGGTAGGATTGCTGGTGTCTTTTGTCTGTCTCATGAACATGCAAGATTTCAGGTATGTCTTGCTACTTCTACTCACACTTAGGCCACACTACACATACATGTACAAGCACATATATACACACCCCTCTGGGTTTTCTTCTATTTTCTTTCTAGTTCTTATTCTTGTTTATTTCCTCTTATCTCCATGGGGAAGTGGAACAGAATTCTTCCTCCGTAAGCCATGCGTGTTGTAAGAGGCGACTAAAATCCCGGGAGCAAGGGGCTAGTAACCTCTTCTCCTGTATATATTACTAAATGTAAAAGGAGAAACTTTCGTTTTTCCTTTTGGGCCACCCCGCCTCGGTGGGATGCGGCCGGTGTGTTGAAAGAAAGAAAGAAATAATATATTACATTAATTGCACATGTGTCCTTTTGCCTAAAAAAAAATATGCTAATAACATGTGGATTTAGCACTAGTGCTCCAAAGAGATTATTGCTATTTTGTATGTGTGACAATGTCGATTTCTGCGTGATGTGATAAGTGACAAAACTTGCACATTAGTTAGTTTAAACTATCCGAACCTCTCGTAAATTAATTGTTTTTGTGTAGATTAACTACCAATGACAGTGAAAGTATGAGTAGTGGAGGGTTGAAGAGGGATGGGATAGTTTTAAAAATGCAGTATTAGAATGTGGGGCAGAAGTTTGTGGCTATAGGAAGGTGGGTGCAGGAGGAAAGAGGAGTGATTGGTGGAATGATCAGGTAAAGGGTGCGATTAAAGAGAAGAAGGTATCTTATGAGAGGTTTTAATAAAGCAGAAGTGATATAAGAAGGGCAGAGTATATGGAGAGTAACAGAAAAGTAGAGAGAGTGCAAAAGAAGAGCAAATGATAGTGGGAGAAGCACTGTCAAGAAATTTTGCTGAGAATAAGAAAAAAATTTGGAGTGAGATAAACAAGTTAAGAAAGCCTAGGGAATGAATGGATTTGTCAGTTAAAACGGGAGTAGGGGAGTTTAGTAAATGAGGAGCTGGGGGTATTGGGTAGATGACAGAATATTTTGAGGAACTTTTAAATGTTGATGAAGAAAGGGAGGCAGTAATTTCATGCACTGCCCAGAGAGGTATAACATCTTTCAGGAGTGAAGAAGAGCAAGATGTGAGTGTGGGGGAGGTGCGTGAGGCATTACATAGAATGAAAGAGGATCATGACAAATGATAAAAGCAGGGGGGGATATAGTGTTGGAGTGGTTGATATTTTTTGTTTAATAAATGTATAAAAGAGGGGAAGGTACCTAGGGATTGGCAGAGAGCATGTTAATTCCTTTATATAAAGGGAAGGGGGACAAAAGAGATTATAAAATTCTTGAGGAAGAAGTTTACTGAGTATACCAGGTAAAGTGTATGGTAAGGTTATTATTGAAAGAATTAGAGGTAAGACAGAGCTAGATTGCAGATGAACAAGGAGGCTTTAGAATGGATAGGGAATATGTAGATCAAGTGTTTACATTGAAGCGCACATGTGAATAGTATTTAGATCAAGGTAAGGAAGTTTTCATTGCATTTATGGATTTAGAAAAGCATATGATAGAGTAGATAAGGGAGCAATGTGGCAGATGTTGCAAGTGCATGAAATAGGTAGTAAGTTACTAAATGCATTAAAGAGGTTTTTATAAAGATAAGTGAGGCTCAGGTTTGGGTTTGTAGGAGAGAGAGAGATTACTTCCCAGTAAAAGTAGGTCTTAGACAGGGATGTGTAATGTCACCATGGTTGTTTAACATATTTATTGATGGGGTTGTAAAAGAAGTAAATGCTAGGGTGTTGGGGAGAGGGGTGGAATTAAATTATAGGGAATCAAATACAAAATGGGAGTTGACACAGTTACTTTTTGCTGATGATACTGTGCTTTTGGGGGATTCTAAAGAAAAGTTGCAATCGTTATTGGACGAGTTTGGGAGGGTGTGTAAAGGTAGAAAGTTGGAAGTGAATGTAGATAGGGTAATGAGGATATCAAACGATTTAGATAAAGAGAAACTGGATATCATATTTTAGAGAGGGAGTATGGAGGAAGTGAATGTTTTCAGATATTTGGGAGTTGACTTGTCAGCAGATGGGTTTATGAAGGATGAGGTTAACCATAGAATTGATGAAGGCAGGAAGGTGAGTGCTGTGTTGAGGTATCCGTGGAGACAAAAAACATTATCCATAGAGGGAAAGAAGGGAATGTATATGAGTATACTGCTACCAACACTCTTATATGGGTGTGAAGCATGGCTTGTAAATGCTGCAGCGAGGAGGCGGCTGGAGGCAGTGGAGATGTCCTGTCTAAGGGCAGTGTGTGGTGTAAATATTATGCAGAGAATTCACAGTGTGGAAATTAATAGGTGTGGTGTTACTAAAAGTATTAGTCAGAGGGCTGAAGAGGGGCTGTTGTGATGGTTTGGTCATTTAGAGAGACTGGAACAAAGTAGAATGACTTGGAGAGTGAATAAATCTGCAGGGAAAGGAAGGCAGGGTAGGGTTCGGCTCTGAAAAGGTTGGAGGGAGGGGGGTAAAGAAGGTTTTGCAGGTGAGGGGCTTGGACTTCCAACAAGCGTGTGTGAGCGTGTTAGATAGGAGTGAATGGAGACGAGTGGTTTTTTGGACTGACGAGCTGTTGGAGTGTGAGCAGGGTAATATTTTGTGAAGGGATTCAGGGAAACTGGTTAGCCGGACTTGAGTACTGGAAATGGAAAGCACAATGCCTGCAGTTTAACCCTTTAACTGTTGGTGTCGTAATATTACAGCTTGCAAGACAGTGTTGGTGCCGTAGTATTACACCAAAATTCTAGCAGCTTCAGATCTAGCGGGAGAAAGCTGGTAGACCTGCGTGTGAGAGAATGGGTCTGTGTGGTCAGTGTGGTCAGTATAAAAAAAAATCAGGGATGCTCCAGTGCATTGTGGGAGTGCCAATTTAGTACGCCTTGTTCACCATGCCTAGTGGTAAGGAATACCTCACTCCCTGGCAAATTGGGACTCTTTCCTTCCCAAGTGATAGTTCTAACACAGATGGAATGTCAGTGAAGATGAATTTCATGGTTTTGAGGAGTTTGTGACCGAAAGCAATGCCCAGGATACCAGAAATAATGCTGAAAACCCAGACCACCTCTGGTGCTGGGCCATCTCATATTCATAGTGAAAGAGGAAGCTCATATTTTCCCATGTCTCAAAGAATAAGTAAGTCTGTTAAGTATACACAAATACAGTTACATGAATGTGCTGAATCAGCGGAATGGCTACCAGCCTGGGGTACTGCTGGTGCTACATGACGCATTACACCACCACCTGCAGCTGCATGTGTATTATCCATCCCAATTGTAACATTACCCATTACCCATACCGTCTTCCCCACCAACCATGCTGTCTTCCCCACCAACCATGCTGTCTTCCCCACCAACCATGCTGTCTTCCCCACCAACCATGCTGTCTTCCCCACCAACCATGCTGTCTTCCCCACCACACACATGGAAATAAATAACTTGGACTTTTTTGGGTTAGCCTAGGTTCTTTTCACATATGCTGATCTGTATGATAATTATCATACATAGCAGCATATGATAATTATCAGCTATCTTTGATAATTATCATACATAGCAGCATATTTGTAGAGCACCTAGGATAACCCAAAAAAGTCAGACAAAGTGACTTATTTCCATGTGGTTTGTGGGGAAGACAGCATGGTTGTGGAGGAAGACAGCATGGTTGGTGGGGAAGATAGCATGGTTGTGGGGAAGACAGCATGGTTGGTGGGTAAGACAGCATGGTTGTGGGGAAGACAGCATGGTTGGTGGGGAAGACAGCATGGTTGGTGGGGAAGACAGCATGGTTGGTGGGTAATGGGTAATGTTAAAATTGGGATG